GAAAAAAGTATACTGAGCTAGTCTTACTGCTGGATTGGTTAACTTGAAAAACTATCTTAGAAAATAGAATTCAAATGATCCATAACATTTTTTCCCTATTACTCCACCTCAAATCAAGAGCATTTCAGCTGTTCTTAAGCTAGAAATCTAGACTTCATGGTTTCTGAAAGAAAAAACAGAAAGATGAGGGAGAAAAATATGATAAACATTCATACTCAAGCAGGCAGGTAAAATAAATGGCTTTTGAGTTTACCAAATGCAGAAGCCAGCCTTAAGACTCATCTAAATTTTGTCTCTGAGTCCTGTCAACATGGACATCAAAAATGCCCATGAGGCCCAAGGCTCACCTGTGACACTTGAGTAACCCTATGCTTTAAAAAGGTTTAAGGGGGGGAAAAAAAACCCAAACCAATACAAAAAAAATCCCCACCCAAATAAACCCCAAACCCATAGTCATCACTGAAATTCATTTACCGCTTTCTAACAGCCATGTTCCTCCACTGAAGAGCTGGAAGCAGAATGGTAGTAACCGCTCACTGACAGCTTACTGTACCCAAAAAGATTTCTGAAGCACACGATATAGCGACAGAGAGGTGAACAACCTTGAGAATCCTCCTTTCACTTCCCAAGCCAAGTGATCTCAACACCTGAATTTATTACGCAGTAAGACATTCCTTTACAAATCATACTATACCTGTGCAGATCTGTTTTACTAAATAGAGAGGTAAGTTCTATATTATTATAATAAAAGCAAAACCAAAAACTTTCCATCTTTTTTATTTTACTTTTATCCCTGTATTACTCACTGACACTTTTTCTAGAAGTTTCACAGGTATCATGATCTCATGCATCTGTAGAAATACACAATTCTTTATCTTTTTTACTTCCAAAGAATCAAGAAACAGTCCCCAAAAATAATATTTTAAAAATAGGTGGTGGCTCATAGCTGTTCAAAAACTTACAGATTTATTTATAAAAGTCCATGCTAAGTTACTGAACTTGAAAAAGCAAGCATCTGGTTTCCATCTGTCCTCATGGGAACCAGGAATGGCTTTAGCTGAAAATAAAATATTGGGGTGCAAAAGAGCAAGATCTCAGGGAGGCAGGAATGAATAGAAAGAAAAATTCTGGGGGAGAAGGAGGGGAATCTATCAAGAAGCTAAAAATCGCAGGTTACAAAATAAAAAGAACAGAAGAAAAACACACTCCATATTTTTGAGCCATATATAGTATGAAAAGTGAGCAAATAACATGCCAAAATTAGAATTTCATTTCACAATTTAAAAAAAAGTATAACTTTAATACCAAACAGTGCGACTTGTTTACAGAACTAATTGATTTTAAAGACATGTACCTGAAAATACTTGCCAACATATGCAAATGTTAAGAACCTCCTACTGCATACATGGCTGGCAAGCACAATATCGTGCATTTGTATTTAAGCAATCTCTGAGCAAATTGGACTTGCAATTGTGACAGCTGCACTTCCAGTCCTTTTCCGAGGCACAGAACAATTCCATGTTTTAAAAACAAGCTGGAATACTCTCTTATGCAGGACAAAGGGAAGCTTTTATTCACACTTCAAATATTTTGCCAACATTCAATTACAAGTCACAAAACATCTAAATTGGTTTTCCACAAGAGGTACATGCACATCTGCCTCCATAAATATACTACTTTAAACCTGTAAGTAAAGTTATTGAAGATACTGCTTTAAATATCCCTTCCAATCTCCCAGGCAAGCTACTTCTTGCCTCTTGTTTTGTTTGTCTTAATTGTATTTTTTCCGCTTTGCACATTTAGAATAGAGGAAGCCAAGTGAAAACCTGAATAGGTTAACTATCAAGTTAAAATATCTATAATAAGGAATCTGATCATAAAGAATATCCTCTCTCACCTTTGCCATGAAGACTCAAGAAGTTTCCTTCGTAGCTTTTAAAAGGTAAGGTGTTGTCATGCCCTGGCCACAAAGCACACTGGGATGCTGGAGTACATCAACCTCAGATGGAACTCACTCAGGTTCACTGGCCTAAAAATCCCTAGGGTGTAGCACTGCTTTTCTACCAACTACCATTTTGATCCCTATTAACACATAAAAAAAGTCCCTAAAAAGCCAGAGCAGGAAGACACAGTTCTTTTTCAAATAAGTACTGATTATTTTGGTTAATCCCTCCCGAGCACACAGCACAGCCAGCCCCATCTCTGACATGCCATGAGGCTGGTGGCATACCCAGCAATTTTTCCCAATATTGCGATTATCTTCACATTACACTTAAGTCTGCACCACTATATTAATTTCCACATATTCTACATCGATCTATGTCAAATCATAACTGATCAAGAGGAAACCAGGCATCCACAGATCAGTGCACAGCACTTCTTACAATTTATTGTGAAGAAAAGTCACTTGATTCTACCACAAAAATGTACCAAATTGAACTTACGGTTCCCATAACTAACTTGCTCAAACCAAGTTCTTTCACACCTTTGATAAATACCACATGGACATGCTCACAGTGCAAAAGCCATTACCTCAAGCCATAATGCTCTTCCGTTTTTCTTGGACCTCATCATTGTGTTCTTTTAAAGCAACAGCAAACTAAGTATCTAAAAATTTATGCAGTCTTTCAACTTTCTTGCATTGTAGTTTGAACTACCAGTAGACTATGTGAAAATAGATAAAATCTCAGAAGTGTAAAAACTAAAGACAATTAAAAGCAGTAATAACAAAATATGTCTTAGATTTCCCTATACTGTGGCACCAGCCCATATTTTGAAGGCCAATTTTGTTTCACATTGACAGCATCTCTTTAGTCTTGCATGTGAACAATAACAGCCTAAAATATTTTATTTAGTTCTGTTTTGATTTGGGAAAAGAGGCAGGAACAGAAGAATTTAAGTATGGAGAAACCTCAATATTAAAATGGCTTATCTTGCCACACTGTTTATACTCTTAAGCTGTCCTTCCCATGGGCAGCCAGCATCTCAAGTTAGCATGAGCCAGTCTGACTCCAAGAAGCATTTTCTTCCAAGCTATAAAGATCAAATAAGCAACCAAAGCAAATCTGTTAAACAGCAGAGCAAGGAAGTTTTCACAGGCAGAGGAGTCAGGGCAGCACTGTCTACAGCTTTGGTTTCTTGGGATCCAGGCAGAATTCAAAACAGCTGAGACCATGAGACTGCAAACCAGCAGAGCCACAAGACAGGACATCTATCCCACCCCCAGATGCTGGGACCAAGGCTATTCCTTTGATCTCTGTTAGTTTGATCCTGACTTAGTCTTCAGCTGTCAGGTAGCCAACAGTGGTGAGTCAGATGCTAGACTAGGTAGGAAGGGTGAGAACAGAAGGGGACAGGGCTAACCCATGATTAATTCGATTTTCAAACCACTCATCTCTGTACCCAACCAGAAGCAGCCTCAGACAAGTCATTGCCTGACCGAGACACACCTGCTATAACTTTCCTATATCTGATATTAACCCTGCCCATCCAATTATGGTGACAGGAGAAAGGGGGCCACCCCCTGCCCCCCCTTCACTCCCAGCTGCTTCTGGAGTGACTCAGTGGGCTCCTGGAAAGTGCATTTCTAAACAACCTGCCTTTCTTGTTGGGAGTCAGAAAAGCAAATGACATACTAGATACAACACATAATTCTGGAATATGAGCTGGTATAATACCTCTTTCATCAAGAAACTTTTAATGCCACCTTTACAAGTTTCGCTCCAGAAGATGCCCTAGGCACGAACCACACCACAAGATACTCCTTTCCTCAGAGACTGAGAAAAGGGAATCCCTTATTAAGGGTAGCTAAGGACCAAAGGACAGGACAACAAGAAAAACAAGAAACAACAAGCAGGGATGAACTGTAGACTCTTACAGAAGAAAGCACTCATACAACCATTGAAATACATGTCACTTAGGGCTGGGAACAGGCACCCCCACCGTGGAGAGATGGATGTTTGTCAGATCTACAACCTCATCATGTCTTCAACACCAATGAACTCTCAGAGACACATAGTCCTTTCATTAAGGGCAGGATAATTTGCCACAAAAGACATAAGTAACTGGTGAAAAGATATGTTATGGACCTCAACCAACACCCATCAAGGAACTTTGCACTGCTGAAGGGAGGCACGAACAGCAATCATGGGGTATAGCTGCTGTTGTTTTCTTTGAAAACAAGAAAAGATGTTTCTCCCTATGTGATGGATTCAGAGGCCAATCCTCCTCCAAGATGTTCACTCACATCATTAAATCAAAATAGCAGTCTTCTAACATAAGATAATATTTAGCCCTCGGAGACTTCTGAGAGCTTGAAAGAATTTCTTGCTTGTGCTGCTGCTCTTCCTGCTCCAGGTTCAATAACCCGTATGTGAGCATCCTGCTCCCTTCTTCCAACACCTACCAAAACATAGTCCCAGGCTAATAGAGGTATGCGGGGATTGAATAAACTCTATGTTTCAGGAATAAGACTTGACCAAGATGTTACCTCGACAGCAGATGCTTCAACTAGCAAAGGGAGGCTGATACTTTGTGAAATGGTATCACTTCAGGAAAGGTACCTCAGAGACTCTGAGCTGCAGTATTTTCATCTATTTAACTTGGGGTTTAACTGTTTAAATCCATCATTTTGTTTGCCAATAACAATGATGCTGTTGGACTTGACCCAAAAAAGAAATGCCCCTAGTCAGCTGGGACAGGTTAAAAAAAGCCTGAATAAGACCTCGTTTTGCTTAAACAAGTGAATTAAACAAAACTGAAACTCAAAAGGAACTAGAGTAGATGACATAAGGTTGGAAAAGGTCTTTGTCAACTCACATAATTAACATCTAATAACTTTTCTAAAACACTATAAATCAAGACAGATTTCAGGCTATGGCAGCACATCTTTCAATCATTTCCACTTAATTCCATGTACTTTGGCAAACCACTTACATGTTTTTATCCTCCAAACAACAGTTACGATGATGATCAATTTTCTTTAAATAAAGGTATCTTACCTCTGCAGAGTCATGTTCAAATTGCCTGTACATGCCTTGATCTTGTTTTGTGCTTCTAGATGAGTCATCCCATCTGTGCTTATCCCATCAATGGTGAGAACCACATCACCTATCCCCACATGCGCTCGGGCTGCTTTGCCTCCATCATTAAGCTGAAACATCACAAGAATGGTAAATGAGAAACTTGGATGGTTTATGTTTATATTGAACACAAAATCACAATATCTTATTCACAGTGCTGTTTCACAGAAAGAAAAAAAAATAAATCTTTTCTCCTTTGTGAGTCCTGTGAACATATCCCTGTGAAAATTGCTGCAATATTTAAAGGTACTCATTCTTACTTCACTTCAATGACAGGAAAAGTACTGCATAGTATTGCCTGTTTTTCAGAATCAAACTCCACTTTACTGGCTAGAAGCTATGGACATTCACCAAGAGACACAAGCACGGACAGGAACTCAGTCTCCTGCATGCCAAGTTCCAGTCGCTTTTCTCTTCATATATGAAATTTTTCTCACAAGAGGAGAGAGAAAGGTTGTAAACCAGTCTTTTCTATTCTAGATTTTCGACTTAAGTATCTTTTCGAAGTTCGTTAATTTATTTATCTATAACTGGTCATGTGTGTGGAAGACTCCGTTAACAGTGAAGATAACTTTTTCCCAGCTGCAACTACTAGAAAGTCAAAAGTTCAACATTACAGACTGACCAGTTACAGGATACTATTTTGCCTTTCTCTCGGTAGGTTTACAGCCCCCAGTGACCAGCAGTATATTCAGACCAGAATAAGAAAGGCCTCCTGAGCAGTTTGACTCTTTGATCGACGTCATTGTCGAAGTTCAGCTCAACTGCCTTTGGTCCACTTGAATGAAACAGTCTTGCAACAGAAACCTTTGTAAAGTTCATATTATTGGTTCCAACTGAATAATAAATTAATATTTTCATATGATGCCACTGATTTCGACTACCTTCATTCCCAAGAACAGAAACAGAAATAAAGCGACATATGGTAAGATCTACGCACTGATTTGTAACCTGTCTTCAACCTCCTAATCATTTTAGAAGTGGCTGCAAAGAGCAGTCCTGGATGGTGCAAATTCCCTCTTTTTTCCAGATGTATTTCCTATCTTGCAGTAGAGATGTTGTAGCTGCTGGTGCTGTACATACAAAACCACACAACTCAGTCATTTGCCTGCAAGGACGAGTCTGTTCCTTGAAGAAATCAGTGTTTCTAGGGAAGTCCTGCAAACAGTAGAGCTACTTCATTTCCAAAAGTGAAATTCACCGTCGGCCCCAACTGTGCTATAGCACATGACTTGAGAACTGAGGTTGTTTAGCCTTGAGAAAAGAAGGCTGAGGGGAGACATTATGACTCTATAACTATCTGAAAGGAGGTTGTAGTGAGGCGGGAGTCAAGGCCCTCCACCCAGGTAACAAAGGACAGGACAAGAGCAAGCACTCTCAAGCTGAACCAGGGGAGGTATAGTTTGGATGTTAGGAAAAATTTCTTCATGGAGAGCATAGTCAACTATTGGAAGAGGCTGCCCAGAGAAGTTCCCCAGAAGCATTCAAAAAATGTGTGGATATGGTACCTGAGGATATTGTTTAGTGGTGAACCTGGTGGTGGTGGTGCTAGGTTGATGGTGGGACTTGGTGGCCCTTAGAGGTCTTTTCCAACCTTAACAATTCTGTGATTCTATAATCTCCAAGGTAAGCAGAAGGAAGGCTTTCCTTTCTGCTGTTTTTCACTGCCCCTGTTTTAGGTCATTCAGTAGAGACCAAGAAGTTTTGGTTCCTTGTTGTTCCTTTACAAAGTGCAGTCACCAGTCTCCACATCAATCACATCAAGAAGAAATAAGGTCAAGTCTTGAAAATTGTCTATGGCAAAGAGGTAATAATGCATGAAACACTAGGGACTCAGTCTCCGCATTTGTGCATGAATGATTGCTTGACCAGGTAAACCTGTGTCCCATCAGCCTACCTAATTTGGTTAAGCCTTTCCTGAAATCCAGGAGACTGTGATACACAACAGCTGTGACATCTGTACTGGATGGCATCTGCAGACAAATACTTTAACTGAGAAAAAAGTATTGTGTAATGGTGCAAGACAAATGCAAACGCAAAACTCCAAAAATGTTACCATTTGACAACATATAGACTAAATCCAAGAAATTTCACATTCAGTGGATCACAGCTGCCATTTTTCAACCTCAGTTCCATACTTGCTGATTGCAGTAGCAATCTCTAGCAGCTAAAAACAATAGATAAAATTCTAAGCAACATCAGAAAAATCCTTCCATTTGGTGTTAGCCTGGTGAAAGCAGAGGCCTGAGATGCAGGAAGACTTGTCATATCTTCAGATTCAAAACAGTAGCCAGCCCCTCAGTATTACAAGTCAACATAGCAATTATATCCAGGGTTGAAAACAGAGGGTGCAAACAAAGAAAAGTTAGCAGAGCAAGTCCCATGCAAGGAAGAAACATAAAAGACAAAGGAAAAAGGAGATGCTCTGACTTCAGAAAACCTTTTTTACCTGCTAAATTCATAAGAATTACAAGTTTCATAGTGGATCCTTTTACAAAAGACTTCAACCAAGCCAAAATTCTTTCAAAATTTGGTCTTCACAACCAAATTCTGAGCTAAGAGAGCTGGTTACTATAAAACACTGATCAGGGAACCCCACAAGCATATAGAAAGCTATGACCAACATAGCTATTTATAGGAAAGCTCCTCAAACCTTTGAGTGAGGGGTGGAACCTGCCATAAACAGATCCCTAAAATGATATGTCATAGCATGCTGACATTTGCCAGCAAGGTCTGGAAAAGGGAAAGGAACGTAAGGGCACTAAAAGCTAAAGGTCAAATGGATCGCTGTGCTTTGTGATTCGGCTCCCCAGCTGAATAAAATTTAGTTCTCAGAACATGCTCAAATGCACATGATGCTGACATGTTGTAATTTGTGACGAAAAAAGAAAAAAAAAAACAACCTACACAAAACTCAGAAGTAAGACTTCAAAAGCAGGCATCGGGGTAACTATTTTCATGGTGGGGTGGGATGCCTTATCATCCACAGAAGTGTAAATTAAAACAAATTTATTAATTTAAAAGAAAAGCCAAACATTTTTGTTTGATTCTAGTAGCCAACACATGACAATCCACAACTAACCATCTGACTCTCAAGAAGTCATTCCTAAACTGTTGCCTACAGGAAATGAAACTATTTGCAAACATACATGGGAGACAGATATAAAATCATTTCAGCAAAACCCCAGGATGAAAATGCCTTAAAAATACAGCTGGAAATTGCACCTTGGAGATGAGGAAAAGAGCAGATAGATCCTGAGAAGCGTGATGAGTCCTTGGCTATGTCCATGAGTCCTGTTGTACAGACAGGGAATTGAATATGCTTTGCAGATGAGGCTGTCAGAGACATATGTGGACAAATTACTGGGCAAGAGTGTGAAGAACTGCACACGCAGAGGAATGCCAGAGCAGTAATCTCCTTATCTAGGCACAGTGGATAAGACTTCTAAGTAATACCTACTGATTCTGAATAAGAGACCTGACTAACCAAGAGAGGTGAGGTTGATACTTCTAGGAAATCTCAACCAGGGCATGAGTCTTCTTTGAAAGTACTGGCCAGCATCCTTGACACCTATAATGAAGTGGGACTGAAGCTACAGGGGCAGTTTTACCACAGATGCAACAGGAATATTATCACAAGAACAAGTATATGAAAATAAACAAACATCTACACTGAACACAGCTGGAGAAATCAGAACATTTGAAATAATTAAGGATCTTTTCCAGACTGTAGACTCAGTTTGGACACTTCCTAGATGCTACAACTGTGCATTGCCATTACAAACAATAAATTAATATACCTACTGGAGATTACATATGCAAAACTCTGTACATATTTGCACCAAAACCGCATACATATTTGAAACAAAAACAAAAGAAAGATTCTACACATTCCTTGTCACAATGGAAAGTAACTCAATTTTTTTTTTTTCACCTAGATTTTGAAAAAAACCCCAACAGATTCAGAAGATTTATAAACACCATTTCAAGTTCTTATATGTTATCACCTACATATTTATCTCAGTATTACTTTTGTATACCTTTTTTTTTTTGCCCTGTACAAATTATTTTGTTCTTAAGCTGCATATTTAACCTTACCTTAGTAACATTATCCTGCATCGGTCCCTCATAAAAGTACAGTATTACCTGAAAAAAAGGCATATCCTTAAAACATGCCTTTATTAAATGTGCCTGTGTCACCACATGGAATCAATACAACAGGATGTATGCTACCTGAGAATCCAACTAACCTCTAAGCACCACGAATATTCTACACATCCTTAATGGATCTGTTTTAATTCTGTATTTACAATATGACACAAATTTTTAAAATCAAGTATGAATTATGGCTACAAAATAAAGGAGACTTTTTTCTTGATGTTACACCACAGACTTTAAAGCTAAAAAAATGCCAAACCAGGAATGTTTCCTCCTACTTAATTCCATGTCTCTGTATCTCTGGGAAGCTCATTTGGAGACAGAAGGGGAGGCAAGCAGGAGAAACGTTTCGTGATCAGGCACCTGCTGAGACCAATCACTCCCACGGGCCCCAGCAGCAAACGACTTCTCTGCCCTCAGCAGCAATCAGCTTCTCTGCCCTCAGCAGCAATCGACTTCACGGCTGAAAGCCAAAAGCCAGCCTATGCCATCTGCAGATTCCCACAACGCTTTCTAACAAACATAAGTAAAATAACCCATCTAATATTAGGTTTCAATTTTGTTTGGCCAAACAAAAAAAAAAAAAACCCACAAACAAAACAAACAAAACCAGAAAATATGTTGTTCTTGTGGTTTTAAACATCAGAATCTCAAAACTGCAAATATTGTCCAGAAGCACATTCCAAAATGGAGACAGAACAAAAAAGTAAAGCAGTCCTTGATCCAGGATGAGCTTCCAAAAGCAAGGTGTAAAAAATCAGCGTAGTTCAATAACTAAGGGTTTGAAAAGCAAACAGCTCAAAACACCCTGGAATGCAACTGTTTTATTGAGCTAAATTTTAGCCAGCCCACTATTTTGCTTTGCAATAACCAACAACTTTTTTACTTTTAAGCTTTAATGAGATATTTTGAA